GCGTTTAGTTTTAGAATTCTTTATTTTTTTCTTCTACCTTTCACCTTCTCCACGAAAATATTATATTAAATCGACGACGACCTCGGTGGTCTAACACTATGTTCTTTATAATTATAATCGTTTTTATAATCTTGCGTCTAGCACGCCGCTTTACGATCGATGGTCGTGGGTTCGATTCCTTGCACGGCACAAACATTTGCATTCATAAGTATGATTGTTTGTATCGGTCTAGGTGTTTTCTATGTATAATTTGTATGTATTTACGAAAAAAACGATCTATGTATTTGTGTCAGTTGTCTAGTACCCATAACACAAGCTTTAGCTAGCTTAACTTGGGTCTAGATGGCGCTGTGTGAATTGTCCTGAGATTATTATTATTATGATATTAAGTGTCTTATCAACAACAAACAAAATTTATTATTCTTCTTGTAATGAGTCTGCGTTACGCACAAAAAATCTCTTGCACATTTTTATAAAAGCTTGGATTTTAATACAAATTTTCTATAGACAGTACTGCTTTTAGCGAAAAACATTTTTTTTTGTTGCTACGTGTAATTAATTCTAAACAACTTCTCACTGATATGAAACGTTGAATATTTTCAAAAGTGCTTATATTAAGTTTATTTGAATAAATATTATTTCTTCTGCTGATAATGTAGTCCCAGTTAATTATACTAATTGGGTAACCCTCAAACTCAATGACATCATAACAAAGATCATTCAGACCCAGACAACAAGGGTATTTAGAAAAGTTCGGTCCCAAATAGAGCCAATGAGCTCCAAACTTTATATCGATAGGTACAATTGACTGCAGCTTGTGTTGATTATTAACTTTCCGTAAACATTTCAACAATATTACAAGTGTTTATTAAGTAAAATCTACATATATATAACTCAAAGGTGACTGACGTAGTGATCTATCAACGCACAGCCCAAACCACTGGACGGATCGGGCTGAAATTTGGCATGCAGGTAGATGTTATGACGTAGGCATCCGCTAAGAAAGGATTTTGATAAATTCCATCCCTAAGGAGATAAAATAGGTGATGAAAGTATTGTAAAGCCGCAGAAAACTATACCTAATACTTTTTAACGCGAACGAAGCCGCGGGCAAAAGCTAGTTATTTATAAAACAAATATATATACATATCTATACATATAAATAAAATTGGAGTGTCTGTTTGTAATATTGAAATAACCGTTTTTTACTACACGCATATGAATATAAATATGGTACATACACCAAAATAACATTTTTTACAATTTTTGTCTGTCTGTCTGTCGGTCTGTTTGTCCCGGCTAATCTCTGAAATGGCTGAACCGATTATGCCAGCATTTTTTTAGTAGTTAACTGATGTTATAAGGAGTAACTTAGGCTACTTTTATTTTAGAAAAGTTAAATTCGACGCGGACGAAGTCGCAGGTGCAGCTAGTATTACATATACATATATATATGTCTGAGTACCATCTGCACTCGTCCCCTATCGTTCGGTGAAGCTGTAAACGCCAAAGGCATTAGAATAGTTCGAATAAAAAGAACACTGTTTCGTGTAAAGACTGAATAATTTATATATCCATATCAAATCTAAATTAAAATATAGTTTCCAAAACATTTTGTTTAACAGCAGTGTTGTGTCTCATTAGGTCAATAAAATATGACGACCTCGGGTCATATTTTATTGACCTAATGAGACACAACACTGCTGTTAAACAAAATGTTTTGTATAAAATTAGATAATGATTTTATATTGTTTTGTTTAATTCAGTTACCATTAGCATGTGTGAGACCACATATATTCACTGCGGAAACCTGACAACCACAATTGGAATTAATACTATCTTAATAAACATATACTTATTTATATATATGTATAGCTATATATACGATATCGGTGGTGTAGCGGTCTGGCACACCGCTTCACGTCTGATGGTCGCGGGTTCGATTCCTCGCACGGCATAAACATTTATATTCATGAGTATGATTGTTTGTATCGGTCTGGGTGTTTTCTATGTATAATATGTATGTATTTACGAAAAAAAATATCTATGTATTTGTATCAGTTGTCTAGTACCCATAACACAAGGTTTGGCTAGCCTAACTTGGGTCTAGATGGCGCTGTGTGAATTGATGATCCTGAGATTATTATCATTATTTTTTCCCAAAAATTCTCATCTCCTTAAGGAGAGGAGATGGCAACATACCCCCGGCAGAAGCACAGTCGGCCGGGGTTCAGGGCCCCAGGGAGAGAAACCGGCGTACAATGCGGGCAGAATCTAAGAGCACCGCTTTCTGCATCCTTCCCGGGAGTGAGCCGCCTCGGAATCCCAACCGTCTGAGATGTTGTTCCAGACTGGTTGGGATAAGACCGTTCACCGACATATTATTATTATTATTATTATATATAATTTTCTACAAAGATCATCACTATAAAATGATTAAAGGTTAGTGCTGAAGTAAAAGAATATGTAATTGCAAATGCTTATGGTTTGTATTCAAAGTGCTCGTAAACAGGTGCCGTAAAAATATTTTACGACGTTAATATCCGAATATAGTACTCACTAAGAGTAAATCTATATTTTGCAACACTTACTGTCTTTTATATCTATACATATAAATTAAATTGTAGTGTCTGTTTGTAATATTGAAATAACCGTTTTTTACTACATGCGTATGAATATAAATACGGTACATACACTAAAATAAAAATAACATTTTTTACATTTTGTCTCTGTCTGTCTGTTTGTTCCGGCTAATCTCTGAAATGACTGGACCGATTTTGACGGGAGTTTTATTGGCAGGTAGCTGATGTAATAAGGAGTAACTTAAGATACTTTTATTTTAGAAAATATCTCTAATTAACTTTTTTGTTAATTTCCACGCGGACGAAGTTGCAGGTACAACTAGTATTACATATAGGTATAAATTTGTTACAAAACTATATGTTTTTTCACTGATCTAACTCAACGGCTCATCAGAAAATGTATGAACTTATTACTAATATTATATATGCGAATGGCATACATGTAGGTATTATGACGTAGGCATCAGCTAAGAAAGGATTTTGATTAATTCTACCCCCAAGGGGACAAAATAGGGGATGAAAGTTTGTATTAAACTTTGTCAATTTTAAACCGATCGAGCTGAGACTTTGCATGCATAAAGCTACTATGACGTATGCATACCCTAAGAAAGAATTTTGATAAATTCCACCCCTAAAAGGGGATAAATTAACGCGAGCTAAGCCGCGGGCAAAAGCTAGTCTACTATATATAACATAAAAAAACGGTTTTTTCCACAGACAGATATATATAAAAAATACAACAATTTATATATTTTTTTAATTTAATAACAATAGAAAAAAATTATAATAGTAAATATTAGAGGTAATTTCAACAAATGTTTTTATTTTCAATGTCTGTCTGGCGAAAGTCAAGGACGCCATATACCTAAAATGTTGGAACAAAAATATGTTTTTGGTAGCACATTTTAATATATATTTCCATATACATATTTCCACTGCGATGACGTATATCACTTTGGGAAGGTTAATGTTTGCTGACCTATCACCCACTACAGCTAAAATGTTCGTAGCGTACAATTAAGTTGGAAAAAACTACAACTTACCTGTTGTTATGTCAAAATTTTCTACGAAACTGCTATCACAGTTGAAGATTTTTACTTTTATAATTTTTTGCTCTTATTATTTATATACATACTGGCTGTGCCCGCGATTTCGTCCGCGTGTTATAGTGACCTTGACCGAATGAAGAAAAAGTATTCTATAATCTAATCCAAAAAACCCAAATAAAATATTTTCATCGTTCTAGCTTTCATCCCTTATTTCATTTATTACGTAATATTTTTACAAATTTTGAATGTCATATTTATTTATATTTAATCAAAAGCTTAAAAATAAGTTTCAACCTTCTAGCTTTAAAAGTGACAATATTTCCATACAAACAGTCATCTTCCTTTTCAACCCCTTACAACCCTTTTTTCGCATTAAAAAGTAGCCTATGCCCTTTCTCACGATCTAGACTATTTGTGTACCAAATTTCAGTTAAATCGGTTCAGTAGTTTTGGCGCGAAAATGAGGCAGACAGACAGACAGACAGAGTTACTTTCGTATTTATAATATTAGTAAGGATAAAGGTAGTCCGTTTTCCAGGAAGAAAACTATTTAATAAAAAAATTGCAACATGTCCCGGATTCGCACAATTACATTTTTAATTTCTCAGCACATACATACAAACTTTCCTCGTGAATGACTATCTATTGCTGAAAATTGCATTAAAATCCGTTGAGTATCATACAGACGGCGACTTTATTTTTTCTGTGTAAAGAAATTACTTAGTAGCTCATAATTTTGTGAGCCATTTATAGTAATATAATATATATATATATATATATATATATATATACTTAAATTAAAAAATATGATAAATTCTTTATTACAAGAACATAATGTTAACTTCATTAATGTATAATAGTTGTTGTAGTTACTATTTTTTTTTAAATAAAAAACCAAAAAAAAACTTGCTTATATATATCTATGCCAAGTTTCTCAACTCTTTCTTCAAACAATAAAAAAATCTCAAATCTGTGCAAAAAGAAGAAAAGATAACTTTCTTCTATCATCGTAACAAATTCCGCGATCTTGTATTAATTTTAATTTTAACAAATAAAATTATACATACATAACACCATCCAGTCATAAACTAGCAGATCTTATATTGAATCTGTACAACTAATACAAAAAAAAAATATGTAGATACAAACAATATCCTATAAGAATAATAATGTCGACTTTGACTTTGAACCTGGGACCGTCGGAAGTTCGTACAGCTAAACTGCTAAATTACCGAGGTTGTCGTTACCTTGTATGTATGAGTAATACTTATTATGAATAGGTATGGCAACTAACGTCACAATCTTTGGTACATATAAACATCCGAAATGTTGGTGATCCTTCATTATCTAGTTAACTTTAGGACAAGTATTAGTTTTTAATTTGTGTAAGGACATCAAAATGTTACGGTTTATTTCATTTTTGGCCATTATATATAGTGTTAACTGTGCTTCAGGTAAGATTGTGTGATTTAAAAATATTGTATTCTATTCTCTTCTACTCTATTCTAAACATGAAACAACCCAACTAATAAAACCATTAAAACCTGAAGAGAGTCCGTTTACTTACATATTTACCACTAGCTGTGCCCGTCCGCGTGAAACTTAACTTTATTTTTCTAAAATAAAGGATTGTTTCTAAAATAAAAGTAGCCTAAGTTACTCCTTATTACATCAGCTACCTGCTAATAAAAGTACCTTCAAAATCGGTCCAGCCATTTTAGAGACAGCTTTCCGATCGAGCGGTAGATAAAAGGCCGAATTTTGTTATTATTATTCAAATTAAGTTTATTTGAATAAATGATTTTCTATTCTATTCTATTGGATTCGTAACGAAAACAAAATAAATTGAACAATCCACAATAGGCAAATACTGCTGAAGTAGCAAAACTCTTCTATGAAAAACCGGATGGGTAGAAATCAGCATTGCTAAAAATTCTTCTTCTCTTCTTCAGCACCATTCATCAAGCCCTGCAAAAGTTCTGACAATGCTTGTCTACTCGCGTCTGCACAAGCAGCTCTGCCAATTGTAGCAGCTGGTATACCTGAACTTGGAGTTAAACCTTTGGACCCGCTGCATATTCCATTAGTAAAAAGCAATACAGCTGGATTAGAAGTCACCTTCTCGGATAATGTTGTAACCGGATTGAAAGGATGCAAAATAGAGGCTATTAAGTAAGTATTATTGTAAATACGTGTGATTCTTTTTTTACGGATGATAATGGAATGGTCCACCTGCTTGTGCTAACGGTTTACGCTGGCTGAGCATCAGTGCAGGATAAGATGAATATGAGGTCGGATCAGTTAGTACATCGTGACAAATTCACTAGGAATTTATCACGATGGTTTCAGGGTGAACCGCGTGCAGGCCTGACAATCTGACATGGTACATTGCTAGTAATGGGGTGATGAGTCCACATTACTAACAATCCTCTTCTCCGAAAAATCATGATCTAATGATCTTTAGTCGTTGTGATTCAGCATAAATGTATCGTATAATCCTTATTCCATTTAATAATTAAGTAAAAAAAGAAACTAGGAGAAAAAAGGTAAAATATATTTTACAAGAGAATGAAAATTTGAAACAAAATTCTGTAATAGAACCAATGCAGACAAAAATATCCACTAAGAATAGATTTTCTAAATTGTCAGAACGAGATGTATCAGTATTAACATGCGGAGCTACAGTATCAACACAATGATTACAGTGATTCATTCATCTATCTGTGTACATACCCCTATTCCATTCGATAATTGAAGAAGAATATTCACATCACCTTATTTTATCTAAAAAAAAACGCACTAGTAAACTAGGAGGAGAAAGGTAAAATAAATTTTACATAGACAGACAGACAGATTCTTACAAGTCTTATATTGATATTAATTGTTTTCAGAAATGACCTTGCCAAAAACAAACAAGTCATTGCCATGCGGTGTAGCACGGAATGGCGGGGCAATTACCAGATGGATGGACAGATGATAGTTCTACCGGTGAAAGGAGAAGGAAAATGTGTTCTAACTGTCCGTGAGTATACTTAATATAGTTTATATTAACATCAATTCTTCTATTTAACTTAACAACATCAGTTTATTAGAGCTAGTTAGTCGTATCCAGCAGGCTAAAAAATTAAATAGTTTTGAACTGAAAATTAATTTTATAAAAACTACATTCTTATTAACTAAAACTACTCGTATATCTAAAATAGTTGTGACACCAATCAATGTTTGAACGTATGTATCTCAGAACTCGTAACGCAAACTACAGTTGCCACAGAAACATAGTCAGCGTTTTACAGGTTTAATATGAAATTCACAATATTCCAATTAAAACTGTCCAACTACTATATTGAAATTGTGACATTGCGACCTCGTTCATTCTTCGGCCCGTGGAAGTTCTGCTCTTCAGCACTTTTCAATAGGGCTGTGCACTGTATATATAACAAGTTAGATTTAATAAAAAAAAATTCCCAACATTATCGTTAATAAGCGACATGACTATTGTAATCACATCAGATGGTCGAAGAAATTTGACAACTGTCAATTTTGAACTATACGCAAAATCAGTAACTTATTATACAATTACATTTTTGTAGTTTATATGCAATTGTAAAATATTGTACAGTATAATGGCATGTTAGTAAGATAAAAAAATGTATCAGAGTTTCTTGTTAATTCAGCTCAACTTAAGTAGTTAGCCGAACCAGAAAATACAAGTGACGAGATAAAAGAAAATATATTATGTATAAGTGACAAAGATATTCTAAATAAACAAATTGTTTTAACGTTGACTTTGATGATGCTGTCTTCTTACAAGTTCTTATTTTATTTAAATTTGCAGAGGATTTGGTTGTTAAAACAACCAGTGATCTGACGACTGTACAAGGCGAAGACGGAAAACCACACTGGCATATTGCTAAATGGAAACATGCTTATGAAGTCAAGACTAACGCGAAATTCCAATTAGATAACTTGTTCAATGGGAATAAAGTTCTTGGTGAGTGGTTATTAAAATGTTGACTCGAATTAGTAATTGATTGAATCCAATAGAATTAATTTACAAATTGAGATTATTGAATAGATTCTAATAGAAGTCTTTACCCTACCTACTAAAGACTAAATTTCTACGAAATTGAAAGAACTACTCCGAAAAGTATTATTCTTTTTGTACGACTCTGAATGATATAGCGACTTGTAGTACATGGCAGAGAAAATAGCGCACACCTTTATGCGTTACCATATTATTTTAAGTCCAAAGTAGTACCTAGGAATTTTACTCATCAACGTATCAAACCATTTCTTTTTTAAGGTATTCATCTAGTTGACTTTGTCTACAAAATCAGTAATTAAAGTATGTCTGTATATATATATATATATATATATATATATATATATATGTCTTTTTGCACAACTGAGGAGCTGATTGGGACTTAATGAAATTTAAAGCAAGCACTATTGTGTCAAGAAAATAGACGTGCTGTAGTTTTTATCCAAAAAATAAGATCAAGTAGGTAACAGCTAGAATCCAGTACGAAAAACTTACCCTTAAACTCAAAAAAATGAGACCATTATGCCAGTATTATCTTTAAAAAAATATCAAATCCATTTATAAATGAGATAAACAAATACTTATTAAATAATAATTTTGTTTTTTTCTACCTCATGTACGCTCCGTACATGAGGTAGAAAAAAACAAAATAAAGAAATGGAGGTAACTATATGTGCCTCAAAAGTGAATAGACAACTAACTCAGTATAAAGCTACCGATAAATCTATAGCGCAAATTTCCATATTATCTTTGATCATTTAAATGTCTAATTGTACCTTATTTTTGCAGCGGACCCAGTGATAAACTTCATGAATTCTAACTGGCAAGTGGTGATGAAAGAAATGGCTGGTCCCTCAATTTATGCTACAATAGAAGCTGTCATTGATGCTGTTGAAGCTATATATAAAGCTGTTCCAGCTGAAGAACTGTTTATTAGTGAATAAATTTTACAATTTGATTTTAATGGAGATTTATAAGTCTGGTAATCTTTTATTAGCACCATACCCGCAAGTATACTGGTATGGTACTAGTTTAAGACAACGAAACTGGATCACTACATGGATCGATTAAGGACTATGTGATTTAGCAGTGTAATAATTTTTTGCTTCTAAAACACCTGCTAGCTCTAGTCAATTAAGATGCTGAGGACTATCGAGTTTTGTATGGTTTGTTTGTTGAAATATATTACATATATTTGCTCAATTATCAAATATGTCTTTATTATTACCTGCCCTCTCTATTCTACCAAAGTTATTATTATCACAGTTGGCTTTATTAGCGTCTGCAGGTCTTTCCGAATGGTTCCCATTCTCTATGACTCTGCTTTTCATAGATAGATATAACTAGACTTATAAATTACAATATTTTACTTTTTTAATATAATAGTAAAATGCCCCTTTTTAATATGTATTTACTTAAAACAACTTTTATTTAAAAGAGCAACACACAATTTTCTTGCTCATTCTTCTTGTGATGAGTCTGCGTTCCGATTGAGTGGTAGAATAAAAAAATATGACTATTCAAAAGTGCTTACACTATGTTTATTTGAACATATATTATTTCTATTTCTATAAATAGTTGATGTACAAGAGCTACAATATCCTGCATAAACAGACGTTATTATAGTCTTTGAGACTAATATGTTTATTTGAAATACATATAGGTGGATAAACAAATAAAGCCGCTGGCGAAAATAACTTGAAACTTACACAATCGTACTACTAAATCTGATTTGCGCGCTTTATGACTGCCGCAAAATGTCTTGACATAAAGATAAGCATGGATGCATTATATATATGCATATAAGTACATATATAGTACATATATATATAAATACTTCATGTTGTTGTAATTTCTATTACGTGACTGTAAGTATTTTTCCAACATAACTATCAATTAATGTTATATAGGTTTATATAAATAGCTAGCTGTTCCCGCGACTTCGTCCGCGTGGAATTTAACTTTATTTTTCTAAAATAAAAGTAGCCTAAAGAACTAAAAATTATTTTGTTCGTTCGTTCCATTGGGTACTGATAGGTTCAGACTAATACATTTACATCCTGCATCATCCCTTATTTTATCCCCATGGGGGTTGAATTTTTCAAAATCCTATTTAAGCGAATATCTTCATCATAGTAGCTACAATCTTTAATTTCAGTTCAATCAGTCGAAAATCTAAGAAGATTTATACAAACTTTCATCCCCTATTTTATCCCCTTGGGGGTAGAATTAATCAAAATCCTTTCTTAGCGGATGCTTACGCCATAACATCTACCTGCATGCCAAATTTCAGCCCGATCCGTCCAGTGGTTTGGAACGTGCGTTGATAGATCACTACGTCAGTCACCTTTGAGTTATATATATTTAGATACATATAGATATAGATTAGAAACAAGGACCCGAGAGGATTTCTTAAATACGGCCTTAGTTGTCTAGTAGTTTAGCACACCGCATTATATCCAGGTCGCAGGTTCGATTCTTCGCAATATAAACGTTTGTATTCATGAGTATAATTGTTTGAATCAGTCTGGATGTTTATGTATATTATGTATGTTTTTATGAATTCAAATTAAAAAATCATTTATTCATGTAGGACATTTTAGCCGCTTATGAACGTCAAGTTTTTACATTATATTTTTTTTCCCTACCGTCCAGTTCGGTATATAGATCCAATTGAGAAGAACTGGCAAGAAACTCAATTGATTTTTTTTTTTAATCCAGTATATTTACAATTCATAGTTATTTATATAGGTGTCTATGTCTAATATTTAATGTAAATACCGTAATTGAAAAAACAAATGCGTTTAAGTATTTCTATCAGTAGTATAATACCTATCCATAATACAAGCTCTGCTTAGGTTGTGACTAGATGGCGCTGTGTGAATTGTCGAAGGTAAATGATTGACCACGCTCTTCCATATACGTATTTTTAAAAATATTAAATTCAAAGCAACTATAAACTTTTTATTGACGACCTCGGTGGTCTAGCGGTCAAGCACACCGCTTTACGACCGATGGTCGCGGGTTCGATTCCTCGCACGGCACAAACATATGTATTCATGAGTATGATTGTTTGTATCGGTCTGGGTGTTTTCTATGTATAATATGTATGTATTTACAAAAATATATATATATGTATATGTATCAGTTATCTAGTACCCATAACACAAGCTCTAGCTAGCTTAACTTGTGTCTAGATGGTGCTGTGTGAATTGTCCTGAGATTATTATTATTGTAAAACGAAATTTATTTTCTAATCGATAAGATATTTTATAGTGATTCCATATATATTTAGTTTAAATATTAATGTGACTGAACTGAAGTAACATATTGATAGTTTGTTATCCTTATGAAATCATAGTAAACGGTGTATAGTAAATGAACCCTTTCAAAATGTGTTATCGAATCCCCAATCCAGTCCTATCCTTTATTATTACCATACCGTATCTTCCACCTCGATATGCTAAAGTATAATTTCATAACTGACGTTTTGACTCCACTCGCTAAGCCGAGAATACAGGGCCGGATTTAGGTTTGGTTATTTGACTAATTAAGGTCGCAGGTTCGATTCCTCGCACGATGCAAACTTTTGTATTCACGTACGATGTACGTATAATGTTGAGTTTGTATTGATCTGGGTGTTTTTTTATGTATATTATGTCGGTATTTACATAAACAGTTTTTTACTTAGTACCCTTAATACAATCTTTTCTTAACTTGGGAGTAGATGGCGCTGTTTGAATGATCCAGGGGTTATTGTTATTACAAGGATAATTTTAAGATACATTTTATTTGTACCCATTTTTCTAGTAGCTGTATATTGATTTTTAACTACATTTCTTTGCTAAAATCATTTTTTGATTTTAGCAAAGAAATGTAGTTAAAAGTTTAGCGGTCAAGAGTGATTGTCCTTCAACTGTAATACATATTTAATTTCGGATTATTAAGGCACAATATAGTAGAGCTCCGGAATGGGAACCCATGGGCGGTACATGTTAACGAAGATTTGTAATGCTTTATGACTAGGCAACGGTAGCCACTTACCACCAGGTGGACTACAACTTGTTTCTTCATTTGTTCATTCATTCATTTGTTATTTCATTCATTCGTTTACTCATTCATTCCTTCTTTCATTCAATCTTTCATTTATTTATATGCTTTGAATAGGTTACATATTCTTAGAAATGAATAAACAGTTTCCTTAGTCTACATTCTACACTTTAATATGCAAACTTAGATTAATATTCGTGTTAAATTCATAAATTAACAACTATTAATAATTAGCTGTGCCCACGGTTGTGTAAATGTGTAAATTGGACTCATCATCATCATCATCATCGCAGCCCGGAAGACGTCCACTGCTGGACATAGGCCTCCCCCAAAGATCTCCACGACGATCGGTCCTGCGCTGCTCGCATCCAATGCCTTCCAGCGATCTTGACCAGATCGTCGGTCCACCTTGCTGGAGGCCTTCCCACGCTGCGTCTTCCGGTCCGTGGTCGCCACTCGAGGACTTTACTGCCCTAAGTACTCAAGTCTCTGCAATTAGTCTCTTTTTTGGGCCGTTGTGCGTATAGAGCCAGACTACTGAAGTAGCCAGCCAAGCTCCTCCCAAAAGCGCAGAAGTCTCCTAGTGTCTTCACAGGCTTCACGGAGCGACCTCACCGTTCCGAGGATTTGTTTTCGTTGTGTGGCCACTGCAAGCACTCCAGGATTACGTGAGCAGACGTTTCGTCTGTGGCCGCGGATTCACCCGCGTTAAATTTCAATATAAAATATAGCCTATGTGTTATTCTGATGCATAAGCTATATTACTGTAAGATTTCATCAAAACCCATTCAGTAGCTTGGTGTGCTCAGTAGAGTGAGCCGTTATTTCACGGCGGCCCATCGCTGGCAATTATACAAGGCGCAGATCCGGCCACATATGGAATACTGTTCTCATCTCTGGGCCGGAGCACCACAATACCAGCTACTTCCATTTGACCGCATTCAGAACCGAGCAGCCAGAATCATTGGTAATCAACGTCTATGTGACAGATTCGACCCATTGGCTTTGCGGCGAGATATTGCATCTCTGTGCATTTTCTACCGCATATATCACGGGGAGTGTTCTGAGGAATTGTTCGGATTAATACCAGCTGCTGAGTTTCACCACCGTACCACCCGCCAGAAACTGAAATACCATCCTGATCATCTGGATGAATGGCGGTCTTCCACAGTACGGTTTTCTAGAAACTTTTTGCCTCGCACAACCACATTGTGGAATCACCTTCCAGCAATGGTATTTCCGAACCGATACGATATTGAAACCTTCAAGAAAAGAGCTTATTCCTTTTTAAAAGGCCGACAACGTACTTGCAATTCCCCTGGTGTTGCGGGTGCTCATGGGCGGCGGTAATCACTTACCATCAGGTGAGCCGCATGCTCGTTTGTCCCCTGTGTTATAAAAAAAAAAGTAGTTTTTACGTGAAAGAGTAATAAACAAACTCACGAATTTTCGCATTTATATTATATATATCAAGATTAGATAAAAAGATATTATATATTACTAGCTGACCCGGCAAACGTTGTTTTGCCATATAAATTAATAACGCTATAAAAAAATAGGGGTTGATTATAGAAGAGTGAAAATTTAGGATTGTATGTATTTTTGTATGTTGTATCATAAAAAAATAGAAACTAAACATTTTTTGTAAAAAATAAAAAATAAATTTAGGGGTGGACTACCCCTAACATTTAGAGGGATGAAAAATAGATGTTGGCCGATTCTCAGACCTACTCAATACGCTCACAAAATTTCATGAGAATCGGTCAAGCCGTTTCGGAGGGGTAAGGGAGCGAAAACTGTGACAAGAGAATTTTATATATAAGAAGATAATTATTACATATTATATATTAAGATTCATATTATTCATAATTATTCCAATACCTTATGATAAAATGTCGATATAAAAGAATATGTTCTAATAAGCGACAAATATTGCATTATATTATATTATTATTTCATATATCGTTTATTAACCAATGTAAAAAACTTCTTTACATATATTGCAAGTCATAACACACAGTAATTAATATTTATATAAATTAAATCCAATTACAATTACATTAATAAATAAAATTACATTAATTAAAAATACGTACACAATTTAAGTAATAACACAATATGTTTCGTAGTCATAATTACGACATAATTATATTTAGGTCTGAATACTCTATTATATTATAAAAAGGATGTTTTTCAAAAAAGATTTTATAACTGAATTGTTT